CCCTCTATCAACGTCCTCGACAGAATGCTACCATTGTTACAATGAGGGAACCCACACTGGCACTTCATTGTCTCCCGGAGTCCACAGTTATACAATATACTCTTGGACTGTTCTTGTGTGTAGGGTGCACTCTTGGTGTTAGACATTCTGTGGGTTTGGACAAATGTATGATGACATACATCCACCATTACAGCATCATACAGAGCAGGGCCACTGCCCTAAAAATCCGGTGCTCTGCCTCTTCCTCCCTCCAGCCCCTGGCAGCCACTGCGCTTTTTACTGTTTCCACGGTTTGCCTTTCCCAGAATGTTATACAATTGGAATCTGTGTGTAGCCTCTTTGGATTGACTTTTTTCACTTAGTGGTAGGCACTTAAGTTTCTTCCATGTCTTTTCATGGCCTGATAGCTCATTTCTTTTGAGCACTGAATACTGTTCCATTGTATGGATGCAGCACAGTTTATCCATTTACCTACGAAGGACATCTTGGTTGTTTCCAAGTTTTGTCAATTATTAATAAAGCTGCAATAAATATCTGTGTGTAGGTTTTTATGTGGACATAAATTTTCAGCTTATCCGGGCAAATACCAAAGAGTATGATTGCTGGATGAAATGATAAGCGTGCATTTAGTTTTGTAAAAAAACCCACCAAACTGTCTTCCAGAGTGGCTGCACCATTTTGAATTCCCACCAACAATGAATGAGAGTTCCTGCTGCTCCACATACTTGCTAGCACTTGGCGGTGTCGGTGTTCTGGATTTTCACCATCTGAATAGGTGTTGGATATGTTTTTATAAGATTACTCTTTTTATTTTTTTGAGGCAGAGTTTTGCTCTTGTTGCAAAAGGCTGGAGTGCAATGGCATGATCTCGGCTCACCGCAGACTCCCGCCTCCCGGGTTCAAGTAATTCTCCTGTCTCAGCCCCCCCTGGTAGCTGGGATTACAGGCATGTGTCACCATGCCCAGCTAACTTTGTATTTTTGGTAGAGACATGGTTTCTCCATATTGGTCAGGCTGGTCTCAAACTCCTGACCTCAGGTGATCCACCTGCCTTTGCCTCCCAAAGTGCTGGGATTACAGGTGTGAGCCACCATGCTCGGCCAAGATCACTCTTTTAGCTGGTTGGAGAATGGAGGATACTCATTAGTAGGCTGTCACTGTAGTCTGAGTCATGGCAGTGAAATGGAGCAAAGCAGATGGAGTTTTAGAACAGAAAGGACCTTCTGATAAGTTCATGTGAGTGGGAACTAAAGTCAGCATGTGGAGTAGTTCTGACTTTTCTAAATTGTGTACTTGAGCAAATAGATACAGCCACTACTCAGGGAAAACTGGAACAGGAACTCTTTATGGAGGGGGAGGTCAAGTGTTCAGTCGTGGATATGTTAGGACAGGATGCATGTGAGACACTGGTGTCCCATGTCACAAAACAGCAGTTGGGCCTGTGGGACGGAGCTCAAGACAAGTCCCATGCTGGGAATACACACTTGGAAGCTGCCAGCTGGTTTTTACTAAAGTTGCCCTGGGACAGTGGTCCTCTACCCTGCCTGGAGGTTTGGAAAGCATTGATGCCCAGGCCCACAACTGACCCCGCAAGTCAGAATTGGGTGGGGGAGCCTAGTCGTGGGCCTGTTTTTGAAGCTCCCTGTTGATTGTGATATACAACCAGCGTAGATAACCAGAGTTAAACTCTGAGAAACTGATACTTAAAGGTCAGAGAGAGAAGAGGCACCAGTGGGGTACTGGAGTGAGAAGGGAGGTCAGAAGAATGTGGTGTCTGCAGCCAGTGCAGAGCGCAAGTGAGCCTGCAGAGCCATGGCGGCTGACAGCACTCTGCCCCCGGCCCTCAGCCAGCACTCGGAGCTTTGTACACGGTTTGTGCAATCAAACACCTACTTCTTTTCGGTGTTCTCAGGCTGCTCAAGTCAAGATACACTGGGAGACTATTGGTTGGAAAGTTATTTTGTGAGTAAGGTATTAAGATAAGGGGAGCTAGATGATCTTAAGTTGTTTTCTTGGCTAAGTATTTTTATGCACTTTCATCCCCCTAGGGATAGCTTTTCTATGAAAACTGCAATTCTGGATTATACCAAGGCAAGATACCTCCCACTGTTAATGTTTTATGGCCACAACTCTTGTGTTCTCAGTCTTTATTCAGAGAGCGCTATGCTTTAGTGGTTTACACGATTACATTAAAATCATATAATCAGTTCTCCCCTAAGTTGATTTATAGATTCTAAACAATTTTAATTAAAACCCTGGCAGGAGTTTTTTTGGTAGGAATTGAAAAGTTGATTCTCAGATTTATATGGAAATGCTAAAAATTAAGAAGAGCCAAAATAATCTTGGAGGGAAAAAGCACTATTTAAGAACATAGTCTGTTGGATATCAAGACTAATTAGAAAGCAATAAGAATTACTAGGAATTAAGCAATACCATTTGATTTTGACCCAAGGTTCAGTAAATAGGCCAATGGACCAACATAGAAAATCCACAAACATCAAGTCCAACAGAGCTTAAAGGTTAAAAAAAAAAAAAATGAAGAAAATCAGGCCTGGTGTGGTGGCTCACGCCTGTAATTCCAGCACTTTGGGAGGCCGAGGCAGGAGGATTGCTTGAGTCCAGGAGTTCAAGACCAGCCTGTGTAACATGGCAAAACCTCATTTCTACAAAAAACACAAAAATTAGCTGGGCATGGTGGCACATACCTGTTGTCCCAGCTACTCAGGAGGCTGAGGCAAGAGGATAGCTTGAGCCCCAGAGGTGGAGGTTGCAGTGAGCCAAAATGGCACCACTGCACTCCAGCATGGGGTGACACAGTGAGACCCTGCCTCAAAAAGAGAGAGACAGAGATAGTGGGAGTGTGTGTCTGATGGGGCATCACTTCAAAGCATTGAGTAAGGAGGGCTTATTCCATAAATGAAATGGGGCCAGTGCGTCTTGACCCGTTTCATGCAACATACAAACACAAATTCCAAGTGAATTGTGTATCTCAGTATAAAAAGCAAAATAGTAAAGACTGGAGAAGATATAATAAAAGGATATATTTAAGGCCTTGAGATAGGTAAACAGCAAATAAATCAACCATAAAGGGAAAGCTTGATAAGCTGGACAACAATAAAATTTAAAAATCTCTAATTATGAAAAGACACCATTACATAAGTGAAAAAGCCAGAGGCTGTGGCTCACGCTTGTAATACCAACACTTTGGGAGGCCGAGGCAGGGGGATCACTTGAGGCCAGGAGTTTAAGATCAGCCTAGGCAACATGGTGAGACCTCGTCTCTGCCAAAATTCAAAAAACTTAGCCAGGCATGGTTTTGTGCACCTGTAGTCCAGCTACTCGGGAGGCTGAGGTAGGAAGATCACTTGAACCCAGGAGTTTGAGGTTGTAATGAGTTATGATTGCACCACTACACTCCAGCCTGGGCAACGGAGCAAGACCTTTTGTAAAAAAATTAAAAGTAAAAAAAAAAAAAAAAAAAAAAATGAGTAAAAAAACTAACCACAGAAGAAGAGAAGATATTTCTAATAAATGTAACTGACCAAAAAACTGTCTAGAATAACAAATTCCTTCAACTCAAGGAGAAAAATACATGCAAACCAATTTTTTTAATGAGCAAAAGACACAAACAGGGACTTAATGAAAGAAGATACACAATTAGTCGATAAACATATGAATAGTGTCCAACAGTGTTAGTCACTGAGAAAATACAAACTAAAACTGCAGTGAGAGATCACGTCTCATTTACCAAAACACAAGTGATGACATGCATTGGCAAAAATGTGGATCAGCTTGAACCTTCATGCTTTGCTGAAGTGGGTATAAACAGGTAACGTTTACTTTGGAGAACTAGCAGTATCTCTGCTAAAGTTGATGCAGCAATTTCACACTTTTTTTTTTTGAGACGGCGTTTCACTCATGTTACCCAGGCTGGAGTGCAATGGCGCGGTCTCGACTCACCGCAACCTCCGCCTCCTGGATTCAGGCAATTCTCCTGCCTCAGCCTCCTGAGTCGCTGGGATTACAGGCACGCGCCACCATGCCCAGCTAATTTTTTGCATTTTTAGTAGAGACGGGGTTTCACCATGTTGACCAGGATGGTCTCGATCTCTTGACCTCGTGATCCACCCGCCTTGGCCTCCCAAAGTGCTGGGATTACAGGCTTAAGCCACCACGCCTGGCCAATTTCACACTTTTTAATGTATGTATTCCACAGAACTGTGGACATATATTAACTAAAATCTCTGTACCAGCATTATTCATAATAGCCCTAAGGTGGAAAAAAACACATATTCATCAAAGGTGGAATGGATAATGTTCTACATTCGTATGCTTGAATACTACACAGCAGTGCAGATAAATGAAATACTGCTTCATATATTGATGAGCCCTAAAAAAATAATACTGAACAAAGGACAGGAAACAGGTAGCCTGTGGTAGCAGAAGTCAAGGTAGTGGTTAGCTCTGAGGAAGGAGCCAGTACCTACTGGGGAAATTGGAATGTTTCATTGCTTGCTGTGGCTGGTGGCTAACAAATGTGTTCACTTTGTGATAATTAACAAACTTTTCTTAGTGTCTTGTACTTTCTTTTTTTATCTTGTACTTTCTTGTAGGTATGTTATATTTTGATTTTTAAAGTTAATTTTTAAACTCATAATTCATTACTCCTTCCTGAAATTATGCAGTTACCGAGTTACACATTTGTAGGCACTGACATAGGATTTTGCCTACCCTAGATTTATATTTCATCATTTAAATCTCAAGAGGAATCTTATTTCCAAGCTTGTCTGAGGTGCTTTTAGTGCCCATGTAGACAACAGAATGGTTTTGTAAGGGGTTAGGATTAAGACACTTGATAAACTTGAGTTTATTATGCATCTTTATTTTGAAAAATGTGCTCAGTTAGACCATTTATTACAAGGACTTTCTCCAGATTAAAATAAGTGTTTAAGATGTTAAAATGAAAGAATTATATTGGTGGTATTTATTTTCATTTTTAGTTAAATGCTCTGCGAGATCTTCATCCATTACCCAAGATAATTTTGGAATACAGGCAGGTAAGTTAACTTTTTTGTAAGTGAAGGGTATTGAAGGGGAACCATATGGCCCTGTGTCTTTCAACGGAAATCCATAATGGCAGAAGCAGCCCTCCCACTGTTCTCAGGAGAAGAGTTTTGTCAGGTTAACCTTGTACTGGCACCGTTTACTTGTGCCGCAATGTGATTTTACCCAAGTCTGCTATCAGCCCCACTCATGAACCTCAGGAGTCATAAATGGAAGAAGACAATGAAGAATCAGAAGGAAGCAGGTGCACACCACAGCTGTGTGACAGCGGTGTGCATGAGACGCCCAGCAGCACCAAGTCCAGAATTCTCCCACAACCCCCTTCCTGGCTTCTAGGTCTGGCAAGGCTATACCATAGCAGTGTTTTGCTGTCTTGCATTTACATTTATCAGGGATTTAATGAGCGGCCCCCTTCCCTTCCCTGGCTATTTCCCATTTCTCTGTTCATACACCGGCCATTTCCTTCAGAAGTTCTCTGTTGGTTGTGAACCACGTTTTTAGCTTTTGCCACTACCCACAGCATAGGTCCTAGTATTCACTAAGCCTGCGGCCTGCTGTATCCTGAGGGCCTGGCAGCTATGAGGGAGCAAGTTGGCTCCAGCCTGGCCCTTTCTCCCTGCAGTGATGTGAAGGGGCCACCACAGGAGACACTGCGTCAGGGTATTTATCTGTTTATTTTTGCAAATTTCCTGTAAATCTAGAATGACTCTAGAATTAATAGATGTTTTTTTTTTTTTCTGGTAAAGATATACCCGAATTAGATGTATTTTTAGAGTGGAATGACATCTTTCTCTGTGGGTCAGTGTTATTTAATCCTAAGGTCATTCCAGGTCCTCCCGGAGTCATCCAAGGTGACAGTAGCAGCACGTGACTGACACTCTGTGAAACACCATTCACACCATTCCTGTTTAAAGACTGAAACGGGCCAGGTGCAGTGGCTCATGCCTGAAATCCCAGCACTTTGGGAGGCTGAGGTGGGCAGATCGCCTGAAGTCACGGGTTTGAAACCAGCCTGGCCAACATGGCGAAACCCCATCTCTACTGAAAATATAAAAATTAGCCGGGTGTGGTGGCGCATGCCTGTAACCCCAGCTACTTGGGAGGCTGAGGCAGAAGAATTGCTTGAACCCAGGAGGTGGAGGTTGCAGTAAACTGAGATTACGCCACTGCACTCCAGCCTAAGTGACAGAGCGAGACTCCTTATCAGAAAAAAAAAAAAAAAAGACTTAAACAAAGAAAATGATTATTCTTGTCTTCGTACCTTAGGTTCACAAGATCAAGGCAACCTTTGTAGACGGATTACTAGCTTGCATGAAAAAGGTAACAAGCTTTACAGAAAAATAATATGGTTAGGACTGTGGTTTATGTATGAGTTCAGATACATACAGAAGCTTTGTAGTCTTTTTCTTTTTTTTTTTTTTTTAGACGGAGTCTCACTGTCGTCCAGACTGGAGTGCAGTGGCTCGATCTCGGCTCACTGCAACCTCTGCCTCCCAGGTTCAAGCGATTCTCCTGCCTCAGTCTCCTGTGTAGCTGGGATTACAGGCACGTGCCACTGTGCCCTGCTAATTTTTGTATTCAGGAGAGACGGGGTTTCACCATGTTGGCCAGGATGGTCTCGATCTCTTGACCTTATGATCCACCTACCTTAGCCTCCCAAAGTGCTGGGATTATAGGCCTGAGCCACTGCGCCCTGCCAGAAGCTTTGTAATTTTAGTAAATAATGAAATAATCTAATATTCTTGAAACTGTGAACCATGTTGTTGGTATTATTTAGGTCTCCTTGCAGCATAGGTTGACATTATGCCTTGAACCCTCTGTTCATGTGGAAGCTCTAGCTGGCCTGCTTTCACATCCATTATTGCATCTCTGTTCTGGACTTGTGTGAGGAAGATGATACTGTTTTAGTTCAGACTTGAGAAGACTGCAGTCAAGGGATGTTCTCTGACTCATTCAAGTTTACACAGCCAGTGACAGAACATGTTATGCACAGCCCCACCTTGAGCCCACACCACGCTCCCCACAGCCCAACAGCCCTTCCTCTCCCCATGCACAGGATTGTAAGTGATGTCAAGTCCTGCTGCAGTTCCTACATGGGATGGGGGAAGCTTCCTTCTTCACCCTTCCCTGATCACACATCAGGAGCTTTGTAACCCCAAGGACATTTCGGGGTTGGAAGTTTAGGGCCAGCTGCTTGTTGGCCTCTGGAGGAGCAGCGAGTGTTGTGTGTTGTGGGTGGAGGCTCTGCCTCATTCTTGACCTCGTATAGCATTGCCAGAGTTTACACTGATTTTTCTTAACTAATAAAGGGCTCCATTTCCTCTACATGGAATCAGACTGGAACTGTGACTGGAAGACTTTCAGCCAAACATCCTGTAAGTTGTTTAAACAACTGTCTTTGTCAAATGCCGTTTTCCATACCTTGCTTTTGAGGTTTTGCCTCCATATGTGTTTGCCTGTGCACTTTCTGTTTCCAAGAGGGGACTTCATACTGATATGTTGTGTTTTATTCTGTTTATTCTGAGAACAGAGTGGGAGGACAAGATAGTGGGGTCCTCTTCTCATGAAGTGCTGAGTTAGCAAGGGAGGGCTTCACACCCAGAAACCCATGCACTCCAGTATGAGGGCAAAAAGGGCACCCCTCCCCTCTTCCTTTTCAGATTTGTGCCAGGCAGGTGATTTCTGATTTCCAGAAATGTGTTAAAGTATCTGACGCCATGATGACCAGCTCCAGATTTTGGTGTTTGTTGAAGCTGTATCTCTGATGAAAAAAAAAAAAAAGCGGTAAATGCCCTTGAACTTATGATGCAGCTTTAATAACACTTAAAGCAATTAACTTTTTAAATGAGTCTATATTTTGAACTAAAAAAGACTCATTTTCTCATTACAGAAAAGTTTCTTAGATACAGAAAAGAAATAAAAACTAATAAAAAGTCACTTGTTATCCACCATGCAGAATTGTGGTGTCTACCTTTCCACACTTTTTGCTAAGCACATATATTTATAAAATACAATTTTTTCTATAAAAATAAAGCCATGCTATTTTATATCATGCTTTTTTAACATCTCTTGATATCATTATACATTAATAAATATTGATTTGAATCTGTATTTAGATTTAAATATATGAATTAAATACGTGAATGATTTAAGTACACACTAATATATATAAATAAAAATATATATTCATGGTAAATAAATACAGGTATGTGGAGGTTTACAGAATAAGCAAATGTTAGTCCTCTTTCCCTTCCCTCTGTAACCTGTGTCTGTCCATGGGTTCCTTTCATTAATGGTCAGGCCTTCATCCAGGCATTTGCATAGATGGTGTACTGAGTACATGCAGGCAGAGGGACTGTGTGGGGAAGAGGAAGAGAGGCTGGGATGGGCTGTTTGCCCTCGTCCTGTGGCCTCTTGGGTGAAAGGATGTCCACTCTTGGTCAGTCAGCTCTTGGTTGCCAGCTGTCTCTGCCTTACACTTTAGGGAGCTCTTCTGGGGTCTTTATCTAGTGAAGAGTAGTAGTAGTAGCAATACTAATGCAAATACCAATACCAACATCAATATCAACGTGAACACCAGTGCCATCTCCTCTGAGTGCAGGCGCTGCTGCCACGCTGCCCTTGGGCTGATTTCTCAACCAACCACAACTGCTGTAGTTTTCTCTTAGTTGATACTTCTTATCTGGGAGTTATTTAGGAATTCTGCTGATAAACTTTTTGTAGAAGTCCTTGCTTTTGCTTTTACAGAGTTATAAGTTTCTTTCTCCATTACATTTTCAGTTAATTTCTTGCTGTCTTTTATTCTCTTCCAGAGGTTTCTAAAAGTCTGGTTTGCAAGTAGCACTCCTCCCAGGTTCTCAGTGATGCTCTAATTTTACCTGTTTATTTTTCTGTTATTTCAGTTGAATGTTTGGAAAGATAGGATATAAACAAAACATGTGCATTCAGCCATGACCTGGAAGTCTGTGTCATCATTTTAACAGCTGCATTGTATTCCATTTAATGGCCACCCCTATTGATGGTCATTTACATTGTTTGCAGTTTTAATTACTTTATAGAGATACCATAAACACACTTGTACTTTACCTTAGCAATACCATACCAACTTCAATAGCAATACCAATACTATAACCAATACCATAAACATTTTTGATACTTTTTTTCTGTTGATTTCTGTAGCATAATTTCCTAGAGATAGAATTTCTAAGTCACAGTGTATATGTATTTTTAAGGCTTTACATTGCCAAATTAGCCTCCTCACCAAAAATAACATTCCCACCACATAGCGTGTGAAATGCTTGGTCTCCTAATCCTTGCCAACACAAGGAGTTTTCATTTTGGTTACTTTCCTGACTCATTTTTTCAATTTCCATTTCTTTAAATATTTGGTGAGGTTGACTACATAAAGCAATTATTCTTCTTTGAATTGCCAGTTCCTGTCATTTGCCCATTTCTCTGGAGGATGTTTATTTTTTCCTATGGATATGGAAAAGCTCTTTATATAATAAAGATTAACCCTTTATAAAATGTTGAATTATTTTTCTCCAGTTTTCTTTTGCCTTTACTTTTTAAGATATATATTCTGGTTTGCCATACTTAAAATGGCTTTTTAAAATTATACAAATAACATGATATTTCTAAAGAATTCAAACAATATATAAAAATGCAAATAAAAAGTAAAAAGTCACTCAAAACTCCATATCCTCGCTATAGCCATCATTAACATTTTGGTGACCATCCTCTAATTTATCTCTTTATGCACACACATATTTACATAAATGGGATCATATTATATATGCTGTTTTTATTGTAGACACTCCTCTCACACCCACATACCTCAGCCCTCCATCCTCAATCCCAGTGCTCTTGGTAGCCCATAATAGCAGCCTAGAGCTTATATATGCATATTTTCCTTCTGACTTATTATATAATCTCATACAGGCCCATATGTATCTGTACATATACACACAGAGACATGTACTAACTTTGTCATTATTTATTTTACACATTTAGAATTTTCCTTTCCTGCCTCTTGCTTTTTGCTCTCAGCAACAGCTTGTGGGACTCCCTGCAGCTCACCAGACAGAGCCCTGTCCCGCTCTAGCTGTGTGTGTTCCACACGTGGGTATGTTGTGCTGTTGCCCTCTAAGAGTAAAGCTGCAATGAACACCATGCATGTATGTCCTATTGTATTGGTACTTGTATTTTTGTGGGACAGATTTTCAGATATGGAATTAATAATTACTGTACTGGGTACAGAGGATATTACATTTTTACTTTTAATAGCATTTATTAAATTGCCTTCCAAAATGCTCTCAGCTCCTGTCTCTGCCCTGAGAAATGTGTGGCAGAGCTTTTCCAATCTTTATGTTGACTTTCCCCTGTACCAACATCCCTTATTGTTTCTATCTTAGTGTCATCTTAGACAGGCTGCCCTTAGCTCCAAGATTATTTAAATACTCACCTCTGTTTTCTCATAGAACATTTGTCCTTTACTTTCTCACACATAAAACTTGAATCTAGTATTATTTAAGAAAATACTATGTAGGGTACATGATAATTCCATAAAATGGCTAGAATTTCAATTACTTTCTCTTTTTTTTGCTTAAAGTGCACAAAATACAGTTGACTAATATTTTTTTAAATCAGATTATTAGCCTGGGCAGCATAGCAAGACCCTATCTCTACGTAAATGTTAAAATACTTTAAATTAGCTGAGCGTGGTAGCTACTTGGGAGGGAGGCTGAGGCAGGAGGATCACTTGAGCCCAAAAGTTCCAGGCTGAAGCAAGTTGTGATCACACCACAGCACTTCACCCTGGGTGACAGAGCAAGACCTTGTCTCTTAAAAAAAAAAAAAAATCAGGCCAGACGCAATGGTTCATGTCTATAATCCCAGCACTTTGGGAGGCCAAGGCAGGCAGATCTCTTGAGCTCAGGGGTTCAAAACCAGCCTGGGCAACATGGTGAAACCCCATCTCTACCAAAAATACAGAAAATTAGCTGGGCATGGTGTGCACACCTATGGTTCCAGCCACTCAAGAAGCCAAAGTGGGAGGATTGCTTGAGTCTAAGAGAAGGAGGTTACAGTGAGCCGAGATCACACCACTGCACTCCAGCCTGGTGACAGAGTGAGACACCATCTCAAAAAAAAATATATATATAGGTTATAGCTGGTTTTCAATATTTTCAGAAAGCTAATTTTCTCACACACACCCCCACCCTCAAGAGAAAGTTATTGCTTCTGGATCTTTATATGGAGATTTAAAAAAAAGAAGAAAAAAAGAGTCATTGCTACCAGTTGTGTGAAAGTATCCTTGTGTCTCTCTGTAATACCTCCCTCCCTACCTGTCAACCTTTACCCACGTGCTTGGCAACCACTGACTTGCTGTTTGCCATATAGATTAGTTTGCACTTTCTGGAAACCTATGTGAATGGAGCCACGCAGCACAGACTCCTTTCAGGGCTCCTTTCACACTGCTGTTACTGTGAGCTTCAGCCACGTTGGTCTGTGTTTCAGTAGCTCATTTCTTTTTGTTGCTTGGTGGTATCCCATTGAATCTGTGTAGCCCACGTTGTTTATAAATTCATCTGTCGATCAGTATTTGGGTTGTTTCCAGTTTGGGGATATTATTCAGTTTGGGATATTACCACATACATTCACTGCATATGACGAGTGTCACATCGGTGGGTCCCCGTTTGGGCGCCAGCTGTGACAAGTGTCACATTGCAGTCACCACGTGAGACGTTGATCACCACCTGCGGAGGTCTGTCCTGCAGACCCTGACTCAACGACGGATGAATAAAATGCACTCACACACACCAGAATACGGTGAATCTGAGTGGGCGAGGGCTGGTCGTCAGCTGCTTTCAGAGGGTGATTGCAGCCAACCAGCCACCACTTGCTGCTGCTCCTCACATTTATTCAGTATGGATTTAATAACAGAAGTTCTAAGTCAACACACTTGTGGATAATTAACATAGTTAAAAGAGTGGTTTTACAAATGATAAAAGGTCTTGGTTCCAGGGCCCCGAATAAACACCATTAACAGGTAATTCCCCTTCAACCTCCCCCCAAGAGGGTCATCCAGCACAGAGTTTACATGAGTAAACAGAGACAAAGGAATGTGGGGTAAACAGACTTAACTGGGGAAGTTTTTATTATCCTAATCTTTTACCCTATGACTTAAAGTTTAACATAATGAACTGGCTGCCTTCAGCCCATTCTATTAAAACCTTTCAACCTTCAAAAAGGTTTGAGACTATAATCTTCTAACTTTCCCTAATATTTCCCTAATATTTTGCCAGCCATCCCAAGCAAATCCCAACAACTGCACATCCTTATATGGATATATACTTTTTTTTCCCTTGGGTAA